GAACTACTAAAACTAATAACACCTTTTAAGTAACATTCAAATATGGCACAACTATACTCTTCTACATTATGTAAGGGGGCGTCCATAAATTACGTGAGATGTTTAAGGGGGGGAGGGGGTCGAGGCAAATCTCATCTAATCTTACGTTGGAGAGAGGGGGGGTCTCGGCAAATATCACGCAATTTTTTTTCTGATTGAAACATAAAAAGAAATACTATTTTGGTCCATTTAATCTAGATTGTACATGCTTAAGATTTAATCTTAAGCGTAATCGTATACGATTAAGATCATTCACTAATTCGTTCGAAAGAAAATAATTTCATTCATACTTCGACGCTATACATCTACTGAATGTTAAACCACCATATTTGTAGGGCTCGAACGATACTTTCGATACCGAGTAGGTATCGATACTTTCAAAAGCGATACTCATTACTGAGTACTCGATACTACAACAAAATACTCGCAAGTACTCATCAAATTGCATTTTGAAAAATCTCACGTGAGATTGGGGGATGGGGGTGGGGGTTGAATAAAATCTCACGACATCTCACCAGAGGGGGAGGGAGGGACAGAAAATTTAAAAAACACCTCACGTAATTTATGGATGCCCCCTAACGTAGTCATAATGATATTGAAAAATATTTTTTAGCAATCCATGGGTCCAAGTTCATGGGTTTAAGTCCCATCTGAGAATACCGGGGACAAACTGGATTTTTTAAGCATTTTTCATTAAGATTATAATTCTAAACATTTTTAATAAAGTTTACTTTCATTTAACTAAAATATGTAGGTACTATTTTGTTCGATAACTTTTTGCAATCTTGTAGGTAGGGGCATGATAAAATCTTTAGAAATTTTGGGGCTTCTAATCAAGAAACCGCGACAAGTTGTTTTAAGAATCCTTGCGTGATGTTTACCTGGAAATGCCTAAAGAATTCTGAAGAGACCTAAACAGGTAGAAATCTGAAGATGCAAGGTCAGGACTATACGGCGGATGCATTAACACCTCCCAGCCAAACTCTCTTCATTTAATGATAAAACAACCTTCCTTCTATTGATTAATTCTGGCCGTTTTCTCTCAACTTCTTGCTTTAATCTCATCAGTTGTTCACAGTAGAGTTCAGAATCGATGGTCTTGCCTGGCGGTTACAGCTCATAATGAATAATGCCCTTCTATTCCCACCATATAAACAGCATCACCTTTTTGCCAGTTAACCCGGATTTCACCTCAGTCTGTAAAGTCTGACCGACCTTTGACTACGATTTTTTTCGCATGTTCTTGTCTTATGTGAGCCAGTTTTCATCACCAGTTATCAGCTTCTTCAAAAATAATTTGGTTTCATTACACCGCAACAAAGAATTACAAAAGAGTACACGGTTCATTAAGTTTTTTTCAGTGAGCTCAGCTTCGTCGTAACTACGATATGCCGATCTTGTTTCAGTTTCTCAAAAATGGCATTCATTTTATTCGTAACAGAGTGACTGGAGCGAAGTACACCTTTAACATCAAAATTACCGGGCTGAAAACGCTTAAACCAAATTTGTGCTACTCTCACAGAATCTGCACTAGGTTCATAAACGTCAAAAATCTTTTTCGCGGCTTACGTTGCATTTTTACCTTTTTATAATAAAAATTTAAAATGTATCTTAGTTCTTCATTAGATTTACTCATTTTGACAGTAAGAAAAAACAAATGAAAATTACACATTTTCCTAATTTGAATTCGAAGTCTTCTTTAAAATTTAAACTTTTTAATGATACCGAAACCAGCCATATAGAAATGGTATAGCCAGAAAGATTTTATTACAACTTTATGCATACTATATGCGAAAAGACTTTTTCCCCAACCTAACAGTTATCATGCATAGAAATTATTTTATTGATATTATTCCCAGTTAGACGCAATCGTTTAGCCGTTTTAGTAAGACAGCTTCAGAGATGGGTTAGCTAGAATAGACATATAAGGGTAAGTATTGAATTTATGATTTCTGCCAACTCTATCTTGTAGACGAGCGCTACATTAATTGTACAATTTTGTTGACAGCTGTAATTAAAGAAGAAAGATTCGATTGTTTATTTGTTTGCATCATTGACTTTACTTTTGTATTCATTAAAATTTTACTAGATATGGAATACGGAACGGAATTAACATGTGCTGCAGAAAATGCACTACGTTGCTTAGCAACCGAGCGAACGAATGTTACTGGCAGTTCGTGCCATCCCGCGCCGTTTACACCGATCTTTGAACCGGTCAGCGGCGGCGTGTCATAATCGGCGGCGTCGGTCATCGGCGCGGCGCGGCGCACACGTCTATTACGTCGTTTTATTATAATATTGATTAGTATACGAAAAAATATTCCCTTCCGATTTCCACGTACCTCAAAATATGAGTATCTATATCTATTCTTGAATTTGAGGGAATGCCCCACCAACGACTTTCAATGTGAAAACAGTAAATCTATTGTTACGGGGTCATGGCCGCCGCTAGGAAAATGTTTTTACACATATCCATTAACGTCATGAATATGAAGCACAGGGTTTTGGCGGGTATAAAAAAGTTTAAATTTCGTCAAGTTTAAGGCAAGAAAGTGTGTTTATTTTTCCGATATACGAGTATTTTTTTATTAAAATAAACAGTTACAAGTATTATTTCAAACAGATTAGCATACCCTATTCGGCAGGTGTTACGGATTTGACTTGAATGAGCTTAGAGCATTCCATTGGAAAAATCATTGCGTAATTTATTATACTTTATAGTACCCGAGATTTCAATCATATTAATACATGCCAAAATGATTAACCATATTAAAAGAATGAGCTTTTGAAGTGCTATAGTTTAAAATATGTAGTGCTGCCAGACTGACGTCAGCCCAGCAGCGCCACATTATTTATTAATATATTTAAAAGTATTTTGTCATTTTTCGCCGCGCCGCTATATTCCAGACCGATAAATAAGGGATTAAGAGATGAACTGGAAAGTTTTGTTTTGAAATTTATTGAAGTTAAAGTAATTTGGCGGATAACTGCAGCCATTTGGAGGCCCGGGGCGGAGCGCTCCCTCGCCCACCTCTGACGTCAGCCTCGCAGTGCCAAAAAAATTTCTGTTTAACTTGGCTATTTGTCCCTGTTTGGATCAAGAACTCATTTTAAAATACAAGAGGGTGGCGCTGCCACACATCACACACTTAGGTAACGTTTTTATTTAAAAAATACACCAAAGCCCCATGGACCAACTTGATTACACTAGTATGGAAATGTGGCACAACCTGTTGTGTAATAAAAAAAATCGCTAAGAAACATCATTGAACTTAATTCCTGTAACGCAACTATTCAATAATAATTATGATAAGATAAACACTTACAGTGATATTAATAAACAAGGTTTATCGTCAGAGTAAATTTACGCTATAATTGCAATTTTAATATTAATCCAAATTCATATTATAGAATAAGCAAACCCACTACCTACCTTCTAGGAACAAATATTACTCCCGTAGAACCTCGTACTAGGTTAACCTTTGCTAAGTCTCTATTTAATAATATGAATTCTGACTAAAACTAAGTCCTGTCTCAGCGCAAATTTCTCCAACGCTAAACCTTGTTTATTAATAAATAACACTATTAAAATTTAGTCATAACAGTAATAATTAAAAATTAAAATAAACGAGTACTTTAATGTTTTTCCTAATTAAGAGGTCTTTAATACTAGTTATACTTATATTAGTAGGTACCCTATCTTAATTTTTTCAAGGCATCTCCTACCGTTATAACTTGATTCATAACCTGCATCTGTATATGTCGTATTAAATCGTCTCTTTTTATATATCGCCCTTCTCTTTTAGAACGCATATTATAATTAATTTTTATATGGGTTAGTGATAGTGTATCCATTTTTTAAGACATTTAACAATCTCAAACAGTAAGTGTTCTTATTTGAGTTGCGAGTGCCACGATTCAGCAGCATTATTCGTACGATGTCGCTGCCCAAATGGACTTAAAATGTTGCAAAATTTGGCTTTTTCAGAAAATGAATTTATATACTTTATAAAAGAAAACATGTTAAGGTTAAATGCCTCGCATTCCTGTTTTATATATTCCCAACCCTGTAAAATCATGTTTTCTGCCAACAAAGGCAAAACCACGCACATCCACACGATACGTTTTCTGCTTAAGTTTCGTGTTTCAGTAGTTTTGCTCTTCATCCAACTGTAGAAACACCCAAAAATAGTCGTTTTCGGAAATTGTTCGTTTACTGCATTTATAAACGCTATTTCAAAGTCACAGTGTAGTTTCAGAAGAGCAACGTAACTACACTGTTATTTGTCAGATATAAAAAAAAAGTATAAAGCTTATTTCGGAACGATAAACAACTAAGTCTGTATAAATTGTGTTACAGGTAATAAGTTTATAAAATTGTATGTTCCCATGAACTAACTGCTCAGACGTGTCAGGGACAAATTAATCTAAGGCATGTCCCGAAGTTATGCTATCGAGTTGGTCCATGGGTCTTTGGTCAAGAAATATGCTATTCTTAATGAAAAATAAAGCGTGATTGCAAAATAAATAAAATATATCTTTATCTTTGATCAAAGGAGATACATACTCTAACACCCGATTTCCGGATTGAGAATATAAAGTTAAGCACGTCTCAAACCGTACTTAAGCAATCTTAAACAGGTTTTCGTTTTTGTTTTTTTGGTGATTAGTTGATAGCAGTTTTATAAAACTAAGGTTTGCTATGCGAGTAAAAAATTTAAGTTATTGAGAATAATCAGTTGAGATTTTGTACTTTTCTCAATTCAGAAACCAACCGTAAATTATGGAGTCAATTCGTACGACGTTACGTTACGTTTAGTCTCTCTTAAAAGCGTGAAAAGGGGTTAGTTTGTACAAGAGTTCACTTAAAAATTAAGAGGGTGGCATTGCCAGCATGACACACACCATTTTATTTAGCATTTGACGAATAATAATTTCTAGCGAAATCTACAAGGGCAACGCCATTAATTAAAAAGAAGAAAATAATAATATTAATTAAAGAAAATAAAGAGTAACTAGATGTTCACAATTATTTATTTCTCCTTACACAATAAAAATTCATAGGCAACACATACTTGAGGACATGTGCTCATTTGTAGTCTTGATCAACAACACTGGTACTGGTGTGTATAAGTAATTATATAAAATAAAATAGCATACACTGAAATACATTTAAACAGCATACAATTGACATGAGAAATATAAAATTATTGAACACTCAAACAATGTAAATTGACAAAAAATGCTGCTGGAATGTTGACCTAAATTATTTTAAAGATGCCATAATTAAAATATGAACTCTGGCAGCAATGTTTATGAAAATTAGTTTCAATGAATGACTTATATGGAGGTTTGTTAGATAGTTTCACACATCTCTTGAATCTACAGCTACCATTGCACTACTTCTCTTAAACTTTAATTGTAACGTATGTAATTAAAACTACCAATGCTTGACTAGCTAACACTATTTTCCAGTGTTAATTAAGATAGATATACTACTTTGTTAGGTTGCCTGGCAGAAATCGCTATCAAGCGATAAGGCCGCCTATTGTACAATGTTTGTTTAAGATTTTTGTGTTTTTGTCTCTTTTCTATTGTGCAATAAAGAATATTTATTATTATTATTATTATTATTATAGATATTAAAATTTGGTGCTCATTGGCATGTATTGGATATTTGAAAAAATCTTTGAGAAAACTAATCTAACAAAACCTATATAGGTGGGTGAATGGTTTTAAGAGGTGAGAATTTATTCCAGGCGAATTAGTTCCACATCAAAAATGAGGGTTGCATCAGGAGGGATGACACCTGGGTGTCCCTGCTTGCCGTAGGCATAGTCTGATGAGCAGGTCAACTTAGCACGTTCACCAACAGACATCTGAAAATAGAATTGATTTCATATATTAATAGACAAAGAGCTCCTGACAAGAATGAACAAGAGCTTTCTATAGTTAGAAACTTCGTTCTATAGCTGCTCAGCAGCGGAATAGACTGCATGAATTTCATATGGCTAAGGTTGCGTTCCTACCAGGTCGACTCCTGAGTAGACAACCTTATGAGACGGAAGAGTCAAAACTCTGAGCGAGTGAATGATTTAGTGTCAATTCTATACATATAATCTAATATTATTTGTTTGAATATTAGCACAAAACACTATTGCACCTTTCTGTCATAAGCTCTTTGGCTATCACATAATTTGAAAATTATATATTTTCAACATTACCTTAGCAACACCCTCATCCCAGCCTCTGATGACTTCGCCTTTGCCAATTCTGAACTTGAATGGCTTGCCACGGTCACGGGATGAGTCAAACTTCTGTCCGTTTGTTAAAGTACCAGTGTAATGCACAACCACAGTTTGACCACTTTTGGGATAAGTGGAACCTAGAGCGAAGGAATAAAATAAGTGTAAAAACATTTGAATAATATTTAAAAATCATACACAAAATGACAGTTTATAGACAGAGTGCTTGTGGCAAAAATATACTAAAGCTTTCTAAAGGTTGGTCTGAGCTGTGCACTGGGTGAATTATGTATACCCTTTAGTACTTATATATATTATGCATTAGAAAGCTCTAGCACATTTTACTCATGACCTTTCGACTATTAGAGATGGCCCCCAAGTTGAATGAGGATAGTTGATTTGACCTTTTCAATAACACAAGACATATTTAATTATGAATTAAGTGTAAAGTACCATTCTATACTTTGAAATCAATGAGCTGAACCTACAATTATTGGTTTCAAGTTAGCTTTTCAGTTTCAAAGTGTCACCATCTATGAGGTCCCAGGTTCTACAAGTCATTTTATCATCATTATTGTTTACAATAATTTAGAACAAAAATTCTCAATAAATATAATCTATTTTTACAGTCAGTTACAAATATCATTGTTTTATTTCAATATTTCTGGATCTGGATGAGGATGCATGACATATTAGGAACTTTTTTAAGCAAAAGCTGCTTTTTATCCCTCTAACAGTTCATGCAGGTGAAGCCCCTGGCAGAAAGCTATCATCAATCCAAACAAGAGTATAAATAGCTGTTAAGATGATCCAGCCTCTACCATAATAAAGAAGTAATGAAATCAAGAATAAAGTAAGAGATATAAGGATAGGGACTGCCTTATCAAGCGATTGGCATATAGCAAAGATTATACAAAATCATTGTATATGGGTATTGATGATTGTAATAGTACAGGACATTTGTAATATGATGAGTAAAAACTGTGCCTCCATCAAATAGTTACTTAAAACAATAAGATTAAGTCAAGTCAAATATGGAATTTTGGTGCAGCCTGAAAACTGTTAAATTTCTCCTCCTGACAATCTCAATGCATTGTGCGTAAAGTTTAAAATATATTGTAGTCGCCTGTCGTGCAGCCGTGTGAAGATAATTTATATTTTATCAGGTAATTGTTATAGGGCTTCTTAAAAGTATGAATCATTCAACCATAACAGTCTAATGGACACTGAAGTGATATGTGATAAATTACTAACGCTTAGTGAATATACATTCTTTAGTTTTACACAATTTTTTAAGTATAAAGCTTATCTAATTACTGATCAATCAACCGGTTGATTGTTAGAAGAGTTACTGAACGATCGGCATAAGTGTATGGTGACGATTTAATTCTTATAGAAACTGTTTAAGTTGATATAGATAACACACGTGTTTAACCTGATACATTCATGGCATCAAAAAAAAAACTAGAGTACTTTAAAATTACGGTTTCTAATGAAATAAATTGATAGTATTCACATGATCAGCCACAAAAAATATTAAAAAACTTACCATCACCGGGACTTAGCGTTTCTACAGTTACACCCATGATAAATTACTTGTATTTATAAAATAACAATATTTTAATAATTGAAATAAAAATGAAATTTTCACAATATGAACGAATAGGAAAAATGGCGCCCCGCCGCCACCGCCAATAAAACGCTAAATGAGGGATGTGAAAAAATAATCGATTATTATAATAATCGATTACTCTAGAACGCGCTCTCCATCAATATACAGAATGCAACAAATTAATATATCTGTTAAATTCATCATCCTCATCTGGTTAACCCATAATTTGGTTAGATATATATATTTATGTATCTATGTATACTTATATTTATTTATGTATGTATTATTTATGTTTATTTATTTATCTATGTATTATACATCTCAAATTTTTGTGTGTGTGGATTTTTTAACCATTTTTCATTCAGAGTATTATTTTTAGATTAAATATAATTGTAATTGATAATAAATTGATCAAATATAATAAGATTTAATTATTTTTGAAGAACAATAATGACGGATGTATCAAAGCGAAAGTTCAATTTCCGAAGAAACACCCCTCGCAATAAATATTTCCGTACGTATTCCACACAAATAAAATATTTGTCACTATCTGTACCTAGTCTAGCTATAAATTAGAAAGAAAATATTCGATAATTTTTAAAAAAATATATTTTTTTAAGTTTTATATGTGGTTATAAAGAGTGTGTTAAGAATTGTAGTGAATTTGAAGGTTTGCTCTGGCAACACTTTTTTTTTTAATATAAAATCGTGAAAGAAGGGTATTCCTATTTTGCCTTTCACTTTATTGTTTGAATTGAAAAGGTTGATTAGAATTTTCGTACTCTCGTTTTCGTTAATTTAATTGCCTTTTGTCGTGAATTAATGTTGAAAAGACTCATTATTCTAGTAAATACATTAAATAATTAATAAATTGTGAAGTAGGGTAAACCACCCAATTATTGGCACTTTAAGCAGGTACTTCATGATACCGGTAAAATTTGCATCTAAAATTATGTTTTAGGAAAGAAAAATGTATTTATATTGGTCTAATAATCTTTGGAGAAAGTTATAAAGCCTATGCCATTAAAAAATTAAGGCGTTTTATAAAATAAAGTGTCAATAAAAAAAAATATCCAAAATACCAGTTGCTGGCATAGCCAAACCTTTTATTGGCAGTGATTATTACCTATTATTGTCACTATCCTTGCAAGACTGAACAATATCGGCTAGCTCTTTTGTAGGGCTTTTAAAGTGTATTCGACGATATCTAGGTATATTTAAGATAATTTGTATCAATCATAATTTGAAATAAACAAAATAAAAGCATCTGTTAAAAGAAAATTAAAATGTATTTGTACAGGATTTGATAAAGAGTGTTTCAGACTTTATTAATAAATCGGGGTAAGCCAGCAGTTTTAAGAATGGTGAGAAGTGGTTTAAATTATTTTTAGCTAGACATCCAACTGTTACGTTTCGAACACCAGAAGCCGTAACAGGTGCCAGCGCCACGGTCTCTGAATCTGATGTAAGAGGATGGTTTGAGCAAATTAGGACTTACATGACTGAAAATACCTACTATGATATTTTAGCAGACCCATCAAGAGTATTCAATGGTGATGAAACCAATTTTGTTCTATGTCCAAAAACGGGTATTGTTTTAAGCTCCAAGGGAGAGAAAAACGTTTACGAAATCGACCACGCCCAAGCCAAAACTTCCCTAACCGTCATGTTTACTTTTGGTGCAGATGGCCAACTTACTCCGCCAATGGTAATTTTTCCATATAAAAGATTACCTGGTGAGATAACTTCTAAGATTCCTGAGGATTGGGGCGTTGGATTAAGTGACAACGGATGGATGAATTCTGATGTATTTTTTGAGTATATCAAAAACGTTTTACATCCCCACCTCGTTAAAACTGGCACACAATTCCCTATAGTACTTTTTGTAGACGGCCACAAATCGCACTTGACGTTTGCTACCAGTGAATTATGTACCAATTTGGGTATAATTCTTATAGCGTTATATCCTAACTGTACTAGGCTTCTTCAACCTGCGGACGTTGCAGCGTTTAAGCCATTAAAAACACAATGGCAGAAAACCGTCCTAGAATAGCGAAGACATAATCCATCTCAAGTTTTAACGAAAACTCAATTTGTTCCATTACTTAAAGATACTATAGCAAAAAAGTCATAAAGCGTCAACGATTATAAATGGTTTTAAAGCCACCGGACTTTGTCCTTTCAATGAAGATGCAGTAGACTATACCAAGTGCCTAGGAACTGCAAAAAAAAATAACATCACTTTAACGCAACCCATGCATGTAGTGAAAAGTGCAATACAAAAAATTGAGGCAGGGGGAGAGCTTTGAGGAATACTACTTTTAAGAATTGACGTGAAACCTGTAGGCCTATTCTATTTCTCCGAAAATGAATTAACGTCTATTTACGACCCGCTAATGATGCAACTGAAGAAGGATCCGACACTACCTCCGATGCACAAATAATTTTCGCAGATTTGATATTAAAAACGATACGATTTTTCCCGAGTTTTTGTTTAAAGAAAATAAAGGTTTGAGCCTATTATATTACGTCTGAATGTCATGTTAATTTATGAGAGTTAAAATGAAGATCACGGTTGTATAAAAATCGTTAGTAAAAAGAATGGTTAATTTCATTATTTTTTTTGTTTTAATTATGTATAAGTCCTATTTTTAGGATTTTGATATTGAAAATATGAAAGTTTTAATTTTGTTACACAAGATGTTGTTGTTGAGGAAATAGTCCAATGCTCTGAAGTTAATGATTTTATAGAAGATATATCATTCCAACAAGAACCTATTCAAGAAACATTTAGCCAACAACCACGCGATAATCTTTCACCAACTCAACAAGCATTGAATCAACTAGAATCTATGGATCAAGTATCCTCCCAAAAAGCCTCTACTTCCTTACAGCATGCTTCGATCTTACAGCCATCGTTCACTAACATACCAAGCATGAAACAATCATCCACACAGCAAACATTCGTTCAACAAACATCTATCTACCAATCGTCCGTTAGCAGTCAGCAGCAATCATCAATATATACAACTCCCCAAAAACAGTCTATTACAATAACTGAAGATATTAAAATAGGTGCAGATAATCTTATGCAAATCAAATTACCGTTGGCTAAGGATGCCAATATGATTAAACTACAAGATATTTTGATACTACCTAAAACGCCACAAAGAAAAGGGATAAAAAATACCAAGAAGACGCCTTTTGTATTAACATCGGCCGAATGGAAAGTTCAGGAAAATGAAAAGATAAAAATTAAAGAGAGAAAGCAGAAGGCGTTAGAAAGAGAAAAGAAGAAAGAGAACTCAAGAAATTGGAAAAAGAGAAAAAAGTGGTAAAGAAAAACAAAATAAAACTAAAGCTAAAGACAATGTGTCCAAAATTTTATTTTCGGAAGATTTCTATAAACTTGACAATGGCAAATTACAAGCTGTACTTGAAAATACTAACAAAGAAAACCAAAAAGCATTACAGTACAGCTGAGATAGAAAAAATGTTAACTGAGACTGATTCAGATATTCGAAATTGGAGAGTAGAACGTGGTAGACTGAATGTCTTAGCAGCTAGCTTTTTGCTCATGCCTTTAGATATTTCGCGCAGAGCTTTTTGAAGGTTCTCTTCTGTGTAAGATTTAAAACAATTTTTTACAATTTATTTTTCTAGACCTCTTCTCTATTACTCTTGGCTTCATTTTGAATAGTGGCTGAAAAGATAATATTTTTATTGGCACCTTTTAAACCAATGTTTGACACCCGTGCCAATGAATGGGTTCTACCGTTCTACCTAATTGGCAGTGGGTCAGCATTTGGATTGGTGTATCCAAAACTATAGAAAATATTTTATATGCAATTTAAATTCAATTTCGAGACGAACAAGGTATAATTTTTAATAAACTCAAATTACTTTAAATACCCTTTTATTGGCATGTGTGCCAGTAAAATGGATAAAGAGATTTAACTTAGACCTGTTGGCACACTACAAATAACTAAAGATTGGCGGTTAAATTATAAATTAAAGTTTAAAAGAGCCAGTTAATATATTCAACAATAAGGCATAATGAATAAGTAAAACAACTACATAACAGATTTGCAATTCTTTTTAAGATTAAGATAGCTCTTACCTTAGCCAAAAAAGTAAATTTTCGATATTTTTGTCGTACAGGTCCCGGCTTGTCAAACAGATAGTTAATGCGCCGCCATGTTTTAAGAGATAAACATTGTGTGTTGCCATTTGGGTAAAGAATGATAGGCTGCTTAATTTCTACTAAAAGTTTTTTAGTCGGGCTACAGAAAAAACCTTATTATCTTTAAAAAACTGGAGCATGCCAATAAATTGGTACAGTGCCAATAGTTGGGTGGTTTATCCAAACTGGTTTGCTGCAAGTTTACTTTGGTTGGACTATCGACGACGTGGTGTGGTAAGGTTTACTTGGGTTTCTGAGGTAAGTCTTGACAAACTAACGATCCCTAGGAGGCCTGGGGCATCAACGTGGTCGATTGCTGAATCATCTTCAGCAGAACTGGGTAAGCAACCTTGTAAAAAAACCAGAATTAAAAATTGTGTCACGTTATTTTCGTTTTGAAATTGAGAATTAAAAAAACTACAGTCCATTAAATATCAAACAGACGAATTCTGGCCTTGACTGAATTAACGGCCTGGTTTGTTTGAATAGACCGATGTCGGCCGGATCTCTTACGGTCATCAACAGACATGGTTTCAGTATTCCTTTGGATGGAAATGGAAATAAATCAATTTTTTTATAGTAGAAGCTAATGTCCAAAATTCATCATACTGATTTTTTTTAAATGTATGTAAACAGCCCGTAACAGAATTAATGGCTAGACTAGGTACACATGCCATCATAAAGAATGTCCGCAACGTCAAAACGTTTGGGACATAATGCTTTTAGTTCTAATTTAAAATTTGACCGAGTACGTTGGCTGCTTGCCTATTATTTTAACGATAACAGGATTATCTTGAATGAACTGACGCGAGCTAGTCATTCTTCATCATCTCGATTATTTTGGGTGCACGCCTGATTAACCTCATTGCACCACGTGGTGAGGTCATTGTAAGAGCCTAGGAATAACAGAGGTTTATATATACCTAGTTTCATAAATAATTTTGACAATGTCATTTAGCCTTAATATTTTTTTTCTTCTGTTCTGTTTATTCTGACGCTGTCTAAACTCTGCTAATAAACTACATCAGGGTTATGGGTGTCGCTGATAGAGGTGATTCGAGTTGTAAGAGTGACTCGTATTTTGTAACTATGAGTAGTACACCCGTTATAGAGAAGCTCGACGGTAATTCCTATTGGAGTAACAATGTCACATCACTAAAAGCAAGTTACCATAGACATCACTAAAAGCAAGTTACCATTCACTATCCTCCATCCAGATTATACAGAAAAAAGCGCGGGAAACCTTCAAATTGGCGGGTCGTATTTTTTGGATTTTTAATTTTTATATATTTAAACTTGATTCAAATAGCGTTCAGTTGGCTTTTTTTTAGTTATATATCATATTAATAGTGTATTTAGTTATTATCTATATACGAGCTGCCCTGGTAAGTCATTTGATTTATCCTCTAACATGAACGACCCCCCGGACATGGATCCGGGGGGATTTATCCCTCCGGCTGGCACCTACATTACAATTTCCAATAATGAATCAGGAGTAGACACCGACGGCTCTCTTACAAATGTTTCTCGAAAACGCGGTCGCTTACAAATCTGTAAACATTGTAATAAGAAAAGACGTAGGCATCACTCTTCAGAAGCACGCTTATTGGATTGCAATTGTCATCATGACTCTTCTAATGTTCAACCATCACCAATAGAATATAAAACCGATTATACAGATAAAAATACTGCTCCTACAGTTATTAAAAATAAACCCTCAGATGCAATTGCAAATCAATCTCAAGAATCTCTTTTGTCACATCCCACACAAGTTAGTAGGCAATTATATGATAAGAATGATGCAGCTCCTTTTGTAGTGCATGTGCAAAGACTTCAATCAACCCCAAATGACGGGACCAGTATGCATCCAATGACCTTTGGCAAATTTTTGAAAAGAAACCCTTTTAACAACATTATTGATGGTAGTGTAAAAAAGATTGGTCGCAATAAGATGGCAGTCTCATTTTCCAAATACAGTGATGCCAATTATTTTATTAAACATAGCAGTCTGAGCTCCGATAACTTAAAAGCTTTTATACCGACATTTAATATTACAAGAATGGGTTTGGTAAGGGGTGTTCCCACGGAATGGTCTTTGGAAGAAGTTAAGTCTAATATTTCAGTTCCCATAGGTTGCGGAGAAATTTTAAAAGTTAGAAGATTAAACTACAAAGTATTTGTAGATGGATCTCCTACATGGAAACCATCTCAAACTGTTGTACTAACGTTCGACGGTCAAATTCTTCCAAAACGAATTTTTATATGTTATAATTCAATAAGTGTAGATTTATATATATACCCAACCATTCAATGTTATAACTGCTGCCGTTTTGGACATACAAAAATGCAGTGTAGATCAAAACCGCGATGTATTAAATGTGGACAAGAACACACTGGTGAGTCTTGTTCAGTATCAGAGGATGTTGCTTATTGTTGTTTATGTTCAGGACACCATTTTGCAAATAATAAATCTTGCCCCGAGTTCATAAGACAATCACAAATTAAATTGTATATGGCCCAAAATTGTGTCTCATACAGTGAAGCATCTAAATTGCACCCTCCAGTAAGTAAATCTTTTGCTGACATTGTATCCAATCCGTCTCATAATAAAAAGGAAACATCTTACAATAATATGACTCCTAGTGTACCCTCAACAATATCATATAGGAAAAACATCCCTGTAAAATCTCGACCCCACCCCATCCTCATTAAAGGGTATGACAAAGTTGCTCACCAATCCCTCATCAGGGAATTTGATATCCCATCTCCCAATAATGGATGTGCATTAAATAATAACAACAATAATAACAGTGCTTTATCAGAAACACAACTCCCTAAAGATTTTGTCTTTGCTCTTATAAATTTACTCTCACAGTTTAATTTAGTACTACCGTCCAACGCTGCCCCTTTAAATACTTTTGTAACACCCAATAATGGACAATTTAACCAGTTACTTAATACAGTGGAACTGCCTTAGTGCAGTCAGCAAAAAAAGTGAATTAATATATTTAATTAATAAATATGATCCATGTGTATTTGCACTTTCTGAAACATGGCTTAAACCTCATTTTAATTTTAAAATAAATGGCTATAAATGTGTAAGGGAAGACAGACTTACCACTGATGGTGGTGGTGTAGCTCTATTAATTAAAAATAACATTAATTTCCAACCCATACCTTTACCACAACATAATGTGAATAATTTATCAATGATTGCTGTAAAAGTAGAAAATATATGTATAGTTTCTTTATATATACCATATCCTTCATTATCTATTCTTGATGAAATAAATCAATTGTTTTCATTCCTCCCCAAACCATTTTTAGTTTTGGGAGATTTTAATGTACATCATCAGTCATGGGGTAGTTCAGTATCTAAATACCTAGGCGAACAACTACTAGACATTATAAACTCAAATAATCTGTGTATCTTGAATGATGGATCGCCAACGCGTCGCACAAACCCTGAGCAAAATGTTAGTGCAGTAGACCTTTCAATATGTTCACCTAGATTAGCATCACTTTTGTCTTGGAATGTTCTCCCATACACATATGGCAGTGATCATTACCCAATATTAATATCTCTTCCTTTTTGTAAACCTAAACATCCTTTACGTTCATCTACAAGGAAATACAGGCTCCCAGAAAAAAACTCTGAAGATTGGAATAAATTCAAAAGCTGTGTAGACACTAAATTAGCCTATCTTCCTGTAGTAAAATCTGGAAATGAAGATGACTGTGCTAATGCTTTGTCGCATATATTGAGTGAAGCTGCTGCAGAAGTGTTCCCAATGAAAAAACGTAGTTCTACTAAGATACCTTCCCCCCCATGGTGGGACAGTGACTGTTATATAGCTATTAAGAAGAGAAAGGAAGCAGAAAAAAAATATCGTTATAATATGACAACCTGTAATTATGATACTCTATGTAAAATTATATTGGAAACTAAGAAATTATTTAAACGGAAGAAATTTGAAAGCTGGCGTAATTTCTGTAGTTCTATTTCTCCTAATACACACCCTACTGTAGTTTGGCAAAATATCAAAAGGTTTAGATCCGCTTTTATTCCCAGCTCCACCTCTGTTACCCCAGCTGAAGCTGACGATTTTTTAAAAAAACTTGCTCCACCATGGGTTCCTCTTTCTATCAAGAATG